ACTTTTCTTGGTGGGGTTTTTTCCTGTGGGGGAGGCGGCCGCGCGGTGCCCGGCGCGGAGCCGCTCTCACGGGGGGCGTTTGCGGGGGATCCGAAGCGTCTTCTCCTTGCTCCGTCTCCAAATAACATTGTGCGTTTCCTCGAGCTGCCTGTCTCCGCGTTCCCGCCTAGGATTCCTGCGGCACCACTTCCATCAGCTTCTGGCACAGGACAGTCGCCGAGACTGCAAGGGAGGGAGCAAAGCAGCGGTCAGAGGGAGCATCGCAACACGGGGCGACCAGGCACGCGGCCTCCTCGGAGCCTTGTGGTGGCAGATGGGTGACACAGGACACAGGAGGAGCACAGGGAGCAGCCCAGCTGCAGCGGGGGGCTCCAGGGGTGATGAACCAGAATATCTTTATTTTTCCACCCATTAGCTCTGGCGGGCGGTATCCAAACACTCTTGTGCTTTCTGCCACTCCGCTCTGTGTTTGGAGATCACAAGGCAGCCAGATAAAGCTGATAGTGTGATTCTAAATACACACAAGCAAAGTCAAACCATTAGCGATGTGATCAGATTATCCGCAACATATGAATGTATGCATGGGTTTAAAGATCACATGCATTTGCAGCATTCTCGTTCCGTGTTCCCAGAATTGTTTCCATATTCCCCTTAAAAGTCCTTGGCGGTAGGACACAATTAATATGTTAATTTGCCACCGTGGCCCTGCAAAAAAAATGGCATTTCCAGGAACTGAGCCTAATACACAGAATAAAAAAGTGAGAGAGTGTTTGCAAGAGAGGAAAAAAATACATTAATAAGTGCTGAGTGCTGTTAAAAGGCTTTTTCTTCTTCATAAAAAGCACCCAGCTAAGGCTGGGCGTTTCTACTTGTCTGCTTTTCTAGGTCAGCCTGTCGTACAAGAGTTGGGAGACAGATGGTCGAGTTTAGTTACTTAGACAACATAGACTTTCTCGATTCACTCGTTCAGACCGGGAGATTAGATGGTGCCAAGAAGAGCCCGACCAGCCCTTCCAAACTCACCATGCTCTAATGGCAGCTATGGGAAAACCTTATACCAGATACCTTAAAATAAGCCTCCTAAGGGAAAACATCCAGGGGGTTTTCTCTTCTCTTTGCTGCACTGCCACATTTTGATGCCAACGAGAGCTTTGGCCGGATCAGAAATGTTATCACTGGCTAAGTGATGGACTGGGACTAATTCTGAATTTACAGCAGTCAAATGTAGGCAAACTGTGCTCAGACTTACGCTGTTCGTTTCCCTTCCTACCCACTGGAAAGGTATTCTCTGCTAACAAAGATCCAACCCTGCGCTCTTACGGGAGGCAGAAGAAAGGCAGCAATGTGCCCAGGGAACTATGCTCCACTGCACAATATCCTGTTTGCCAAAAGGAAAAAAAAAAAACCCTGGTAGTTAGCCCAAGCTGTGTTAATTATCGGAAGTCAGGGCGCATTTTGGGTGCTGGGCAGGTACAGTGATCATCAGGTTGAAAATTGTTACTATTAAAAAGAAAAGAGATCAGAGCCAAGATGCTAGAAGCCTCCCCTAGAGCAGTGAGGGGCAGAGCTGCAGCGAGCTCAGGAAACGCGGCTGTTCCTGGAGGAAGAGCCAAGGCTGCAGCCTTGCCCTTCACCAGCAATACTTACAGATGCCTTGGAGAATCCACTTGGGCTTGTTTTGCCACCAGACTCCAAAGAAGTAAACGGGGATCCCACTGAAGATGATTGCAAAGCCAATCGCACATTCCTTTGGCGTCATCCAGAAGGAGACAGCGATGAGAAACAAGCAGGCCAGGATGAAGAAAATGGGCAAGCAGATGTTGACCTGAAAGAGGAGCCACAGAGCAGTTGTATCAGGGATGGGAAACGAGGGCCAAGGTGACTCCCCAGCAGGGGAGCAGTTCAGGATCCACCAGGGACCCCACGTGGACGATATTCCCACCTGCTCTGAACAAAGGCACCAGGGGCTGGAATTGCTGTTGGAAGGTCACCAATTTAACCACTGCTCTTCAGGAGCAGCCTCGGCACAAGCCATAGCAACATCCCTGAGACAGCTACGCCGCTGTCTTGGCATCGACTGAGAGCACCCTGACTTTCTTCTAAAAAACATGCAGGAAACCCCCCTAAAGGGTTACTTTGGGAAGGTGCTGGGGCACATCTGAGCGCGTTTCTGTGTGCTTGTGGGGCAGAGGTGTGAGTGTGCTCGGGGATGAGGGAGCAGGCAGACACGCTCGCCGCAGTCCTGGCCTCCTCCCAGGCACTGAACTGCCAAGGACAAACAGAACAAAAATCTCAGCTCTGCGGAGCTGTCAGGCTTGGATTTGCCTGCTTTACTGGGGAAAAAGGGGGGAAAAAAGAAAAGTGAATTCCATGATGATGGACAGGGCTTCACCGAGACTCTGTGAGTTGTTCACAGACTCCAAGAATTGCCCTGGGGAATGTGTTAGCCTCCAAGAGCTTCCCGCGGGGAGACCCTCCCAGGACACCTCTCATTGCTGACACCCTTCCTTCACTCGAGTGTCCTGTGGCCATGGCACGTCCTCGTTGGTGACAATTTGCACTCAGCAGATGCCTGTGCAGCAGGGACACCTGCCCACTGGGGAGCTGCGGGCTTCGCACGCCCACTTTTCCCCTGCCTGCCTGCTCCATCCTGCAATCCGAGCCCTCTCCCATCAGTAAACGCAGCCACACTCCCTGCTCCTCCCACGGTGCCGAGGAGATGCATCCCCAGACAGGGATCAATGTCTTGTCCCCGCAGTCGGAAGCCTCTGATCTCTCCTTACAGCTCAGAGCTACCGTTTTCAGAGCCATCCTCTGATCACCAACTAAAAGGGCTCGCACGGGCAGGACTCTCGGCGCAATAACCACACGCTCTGCTCACCTTGATGGGCCTTTCCAGCTCTGGCTTCTTGTAGCGCAGCCACATCATGCCAATGATGGCCAGAGCCACACACAGCCAGTTGAAGAAGCTGAAGAAGTTGATGACTGAGAAAATGTTGTTGGAGAAGGCGTAGAGCAGCGTCATGACACACTGCAGCCAGAAAGAGACACCGTTACCAAAGGGAGCAGCAGGCAAAACCACGTATATTACTACAGCAAATACAGGTCTTTGGGATGAACTATCTGCCAAGAATGGAAACAAGTTGATTATTTTTTTACCTATTTAACCTATTTTCAGTTGGGACCTGGAGTGATTTCAAAATGGAACATAGAATATAAGGATATGATGAAAAGTGTCTATCCTTCCCCAGGGCTGCAGACACAAATGGAGGCTCCTTCTCCATGTGCTCTGGGGTATCCTATGCCCACCCTGTCCTCAGTGCTCAGCGTCACGGCCCCGGGTGCTTACCGTGAAGATGAGGGATGGCACTGGAGTGAGCAGCCTGGGGTGGATCATGGAGAGGATGGAAGGGAGGTGCCCTTCCCGGGATCCCACAAAGAAGAGCCTGAGACGAGGGAGATGGAGCCGTTACCTCCTGCGCCAACCCCCAGCCCAAGGTCAGGGTTGTCTTCAATGTAAAACAAGAGGGGACAGCCCCGATGAGCCTGGACACTGCTGGGATGGGAATGCCCAGGGCTGTGCAGGTTTTACACGTTTAGCGGGGTGGCCACACGATGCCAACTGCTAGTCACTGTTTTGAGAGTGCAGCCACCAGGTTCAGACCCCAGCCGTGGGTTCTGCACAAACGCACAGGGGAAACTGTGTTAGAG